CACGGTCTCTGATGGGTTCAAAGCCTGTCTGTCACGGTCTGTGATGGGTTCAAAGCCTGTCTGTCACGGTCTGTGATGGGTCCAAAGTCTGTCTGCCACGGTCTGTGATGGGTCCAAACCGTGTCTGTCACGGTCTGTGATGGGTTCAAAACCTGTCTGTCACGGTCTGTGATGGTTCCAAAGTCTGTCTGTCACGGTCTGTGATGGATCCCGGGCCTGTCTGTCACGGTCTGTGATGGGTCCAGAGCCCTGTCTGTCACGGTCTGTGATGAGTCACGTGACTGTCTGTCACGGTCTGTGGGGGGGAGGGGGGGGGAGGGTCCAAATTTCTACCCTTAAACACTTCAACACTCCTTTCAGATCGTGTTTCACAAAAACATAGTATTCCTCTTCTGGTTCATCATCAGATACAAAGCAGTATAAATCGAAACAGATGAAATTTCTTTTGAAACAACAACCATTGGTGTATATTGTTATGTATTCAAAATTGCAATTAGATGAGTAGTCTATGGCTAAGATGGTCTCGGACCAGAACCAACATTGTTTCATTGAGAATGATATTTCTTATAGTACTGTAAGACTTGTGCAAAGTGTCATTTTCTCACGACTTATACATGTTCTAAAATTTTATGCGAAAATTATTGAATAACAATAATTTGAATTTCGATAGTAAAATTAATTCTTCTGTTTTCGTAAACAACAGAGTTGTAGAACACATAAACGCACTGAATACACGAAATATTCGTGAATTAAAAAAAAAGTAATGAATCTCCAAGAGACAGAATATTCGAGGTCATACGAGTCAAGCAAGTGCTAAAAATGATATCATATTTTTCGCTATCGCGAAATTCCAAGCAAAAATTTCTTTCTGTCCCGCTTATCATTACGGCTTTCTTCAATTCAGCCCAATGAGACTTCTAATAATATCCCAGCCAAAATTTTATCTAGATTTTCTCTTTCGGAAGAGCGATTTAAAATTCTGGGAAAGGTCAATTCAATCTTCAAAGGAATGCTGTCGCGTCGACTTCCTACGTTGGAAAACAACATTCATGTTATTAAAGAAACGACATTACTTGACAACGACAAATTGAAATACAGACACAATGATGACCATATTTCAATAAAAATTGTCGTTCTACTAATGTTGAATTTGTAGATAAATCATTGACTTTTGCTTGTATATACATAGGTGAAAAAATTATTCTTTTCCATTGACGTCTTTTTATTGATATTGTAAAAAATATTAATTGTTCATACATTGGACTAATATGATATTCATATGGATATTCTTGTTTAATAAAATATGAATTTTTTAATTGATTTTGTTTAAAAGATATACGTATAGAACATTGAGATAAACCTGTATTATTTATAATTAATGCTATTTGAAATGTATATTTAGAAAATGATTCAATTGATATTTCAATAATTGAAATTAAACATCTATATGAATAATATTTAATAAAATATCATCTCATACAAAATTATTTACTCAAATCCAATTGATTGATTTTGTTTAAATGTTATATTAAGATGAAATTGATGTTTATATGGTATAAGAAATTTAAATTTATGATTATATTCATGAATGGGTAAATCAAGATGAGATTGAAAAACATAATGAAAAGGTTGTTTATTCATTTCATTTGACTAGATAAAGTATAAAATCATTGATTGATTAATTATTTCTTGCTATTACTTTATCAACAAGCCAAAAATCAAATGGTTGATTTTTTGAACATTCAATTGAACATATTTGATTATCTGTTGTATTAACGATTTTCTTACATATATTATCTTCGTCAAGATTTAATTCAGATTTATTAATTACCATAAATTCATTATGAAATTCCTACAAAAAAAAATAAAATAAATTTTTTTTTCCATGTTTGATATGATAATTATATTTAATTGTATTTTATTGTTTATTGTTTGTATTGGTTGACGAACTAATAAATATTTATATTCATTAAGTAAAATATTTGATATTGAATGTTCATTTGTTGTTAATGATGTTATTTGAATATCAGCAATTTCAGTAGTTTTATTTACAAATGGAAAATCAATGAGATCTGTTTTTAATAGTAATGTCCAAGTAAAATCATCTTCAAGTTCATAAATATGAAGAGATAAAGAAAAATGTAATTGACGTGAATCAATATCATAAACATCATACCTAGATGAATTAATTTGATGTATTATTAGAAGGATTAGAAAGTTATAATGTGTCGATAATTCGAAATTCGAGAAGAATTATTTTTTAACCGAGTTTTGGTACGATTGGATAGCATGTCTCAAGTTACCTATCAAAATGTATATTCGAACTGAGTAGGGGTGCACCAGTGTCAGTAACTGGACACCCAGTCACGACTGGGTACTTAGCCATTTGACGTTTATTCTGCTAATCAACCAGTACTTCCCTCTTTTCTAAGGGTATGGGTTTGATGTTTGTATGGGTGTGGTTATTGTCATTCTAACCATTCCCACATCCATCCAAACAACACCCACACCCTGAAGACATGAAATTTATTTATAGTATTCTAAATTATAATGATTGATATATAGATATATATGATTAGCCAATGAATTCAGTGTTATAGTTTATATCAGTACTTCAATAGCCTAAGAATCACTGTATGACAATGTACTAAAAAAGAAGAAAGTACTACTCGACTAATGGACTAAAGATCAAAGGACTCAGTACCCAGTCAGAACTGGGACTGGTGCATCCCTATTTTGGAGGAGATTGACAAAAAATTCTATACGATTCTGCCAGGCGACAGCATCTTAACCCTTTACCCCCCATAGCATTACCAGAAGAGCTACTGATAAAATAACTTCATAAATAAAGTATTAGTCTCTCTTATATGTCAATAATGTGGTGTAATCCGCCGAACGTCCTGCTTCTAGAGTAGGATGGCTTGATAGATTCAGCGATCATGTGATAGAAAAAGGGAATTGAACAACATCATGACACTTGAATTTTGTTTTCTTTGACGACACTATTGAGTGGGCAGAAGCAACATATATTCTGTACTTTAGAAATAATAGGGAAAGAAACAGTTGTGAACCGATAAAAATTAATACCAAAGAATGCATGTGTTTTTTACACGTGTTGTCAAATGAGAGTCTTTTTTGTTTTGAACATGTGTAATTCGTTAAGTTATCATGAAACTTTTGAAATATATTTTATTCATTAGTGGACTTCTTCATCAATTAATATCGCATAGAAATTTCAAAAGATCTCTATTGTCTATGGATATAGAACCTTTAGTACAAAAAAGGTTCTTATCGTTTTTGAATCCGACGCTTCCTTTATTTTCTGCAATATTTCTAAAAATGGCAATTCCAGTTGCCAATGAGGAATAAAGGGTTAAGTTTAGAAACGCAAGAAGATACATTTCAATTCAATATTGTATCTATAGACATTCTCTTGTGCAGGGGTGAACACTTATTTTTGGGAGTACAGGCACATTGCAAATGGTGCAAGAACTACACACTCTGCTATGAGTATTTCAATAATAGATATTGCATCCATCTCATACTGACACTTGTTTTTTGAATCTGATAAACTCTCGGGTAATTTCAATTGACCATCGTTCAGCGCTTCGTGAGATATGTTCATATTTCTGTCAGATTAATAAAAATCTCCATCGTTTCATTTCTAGACTGTGTCTAATTTCATAACATATGCCTATTATTTATTCACCAGTTCCTAAACAGCTGTATTTCATTAATTTCCATGCTTACGCATTTTTTTTTTTTTGGTTCACAAAAGAAATTCATTTATTCATTAATAGAAAACATGTAGAACAAATGAAATTACAATTAAACTGTGAAAAGCGATGAACTAATCTATTCGTTAATTTGCTCGTCTGGAGACGAATTTTATGCAGTCATGACAAAAAAAAAAAACGTTTGCTCAAATTTCGCTTTACCGGCATCTTACCAATAATCATCCATTCGTATGCAATGTGTAGTCGTTTGACAAGTTTGATTGAGACAATGTTTACAAGAGAATTCCTAGAATGAAAAGAGCCTTGTTGAAATAAATTTCTTAAATCAAAAATTAAACTTTGATAGGTTTTGCTGTATGTATATCAAAACTATCATAACCACAAAAAGTTGATTGTTTTATATTTTTTTTAGAATTATTTTCTGTTTGAAAATGTTGAAATGATATTGGAAATAATTTATTATTGATACTCTATAAGCAAAAAAAAAAAATAAAGAATTTGAAAATTAATATTAATAATAATACCTTTAAATATTCTAACGGATATATTTCAGCTGATTCAATATATAAATAAAGAAGTAATGGTCTTTTTAATAGAATTTCTTGTTTATTACGAGTATATACTCGTTCAATTATAATTATATTAGTTTTTTGCTATTTAAAAATTGAAAATATAAAAAATTCACAATATTGAATTCGACTTACAAATGAATCAATTCTTGTTGTTTCATTAATTATTATCTCTATATAATTCATACGAATAGAATGAAAGAGAAATATTATTATAAAATAAAACATCTAAAATGATTTTATTTTAAAATTTATCTCAAGAGTATAAAATAAATAGATTATTCAATACAAAAGAAATTTAATCTTGTTCAATACCTTTATTATTATATCAAGAAAAGATTTCGAGAGAGAGAGAGAGAGAGAAAAAAAGAGAGAATATTTGACCTATATATATATACGTAAGATTGTTGACTACGTAATATTACGTTCATTCTGACATAACTCACACTTGATCTATTAAACAACAAAAAAAAAAAAGGTGCTTAGATCATCAAATAATAATAATGTCATTTATGATCGATAAAATTCTTAGTTCATCATATACAAATCGAAGACCACTTGAATTATTAACAAATACTTCTGTAAATATTTCATTAAATAATAAACAAAAAGAACGTCGTATGTGGAAATGTGAAATATGTGAAAAATCATTTGATCGTCCATCATTATTAACACGACATATTCGTACTCATACAGGTAAAAACAAAAAAAAGATTTTTAAATTAATAAAAAATAATTATATTTTTAGGTGAAAAACCACATGAATGTGATATATGTTCAAAAGCATTTTCAACATCATCATCATTAAATACACATCGTCGTATTCATTCAGGTGAAAAACCACATATTTGTGATATATGTAATAAACGTTTTACTGCATCATCAAATCTTTATTATCATAAATTAACTCATAGCAAAGTAAGAAAAAAGAAAAAAAATTTTTTTTTTTTTATTATAATAAAAATTTTGCTGTTAAATAGGATAAACCTCATAAATGTTTACAATGTTCAAAAAGTTTTTCAACACCAGGTGATTTACGTTGTCATTTACATGTACATAATGGTACATGGCCATATCGTTGTTCAATATGTACAAGAGGTTTTTCAAAACAAACAAATCTTAAAAATCATTTACTTATTCATACTGGTCAAAAACCATTTCAATGTCAATTTTGTTTTAAAAAATTTTCATTATCATGTAATCTTCGTTCACATATTCGTACAAATCATAATGAATTTCCATTGGATTTTTCATTATCAGAAAATCAATCTTCTTCATCAATTGTTGAAAATCATGATTAAACTTTTGTTCATTTATAATATATAAAGCACAATGAACAGTGTTGTTTTTGTACATATATATATATATAAATAAATTTGTGTTTTCGATTAAAATAAATTTGATTCCGGAAGTTTGTCTAACATGATGAATGAGGCAGATGATTTCAATCAAGATCAAATTTCTTATTGTTCTCAAAGGAAATAGAGAGGAAGGAAGGAAGGAAGAAACCTTTTTTTTTTTTAATGATTGAACTCATCAAATTCATTTTTAATGACTTTTTTTCTTTAGGTAGTAGACAATGTTGAGGATTGTTTTTTTTCTTTATTTAATTTAAATTATGTCATTTGATGTTTTTAGTTCTGTTCATATTCAAAAAAAAGATGAAATAAACCGAAACTATACTATATAGGAAATAGGACAAATAATTAGATATGTCAATATAGAAACAAAAAAAAACACATATGTTTCTATAGACTAATTTTCAAAGTAAACAAGTTCAAAGATGAGTTTCATTTGATGAAGTTTGTTCGAAATTTACAATCATTTGCTAATAGACTAATATATATAAGATAACATTAAGATGTTGATTAATATGTTATTTTGTCTGTTGTTATTATTTTAAGATGTAGGGAACTGATTGTCTATATCTTTATAAGTATGGGAAAACATGTGAAAAAGAATATTTTTTATGAGATATAAAATTGCTCTAGGGTTGTAAACATGTATTTATTAGAATAATGACGATCGAATAGATGTAAATTATTGTCAGAGCTGTTCACTAGTCGAGATTAACGTTCTTTTTTTTTTTTTATTTCATTTCTTGTGCCTCTCTCTCAAACGATAATTGCATGTATGTATGTCATGTGGAGATTAAGTGAAGTGTTGAAATCTCGAGAGAGTCACAGAAATATGAATGACCGGAAATAATCACATATACATACCGTCATTTCACAAGTGCAAATGACTGAAAAATTGATTGGATAGTTAACTAATTACAAATGGAGATCAATATACATATATATAAAAGTAGACGCGATGCCGAATTTATTATGTATATGAACACCAAAGAAAAATCGAATAAGCGGAAAAGAAAAAGATATGTAAGAATATATTTTCAAGTGAATAATTGACCATGTCTAATCATCAAAACAAATGGATGCTTATAAAATATTTAATATCTGCATATCTGATTATTTTAATAATGAAATAAAATAGATAACAAAATTTTAAATTGATTTCATAGGTGAACACTTCCCTACTCTGAACTTGAATATATTTTATACTATTTTTTTTTTCTCTTCCTCTCCTTTTCATCAGTTCTGGTTAATGCATTATAACTGTGCATATCAATGAACTCATAACATCATCTTACATTCACCATTTGAGTACTATTACTCGACTGCTATAGTAAGGAATTTCTAAATTTGTATGATCATTATTGTCAATCATCCAACAAGTTTGGGTATTTTTTTCTTGTATGATTCGTAAGTAGAGATTTGCGACTAAGGTTTTTTGATTCACGGTTTCAGTAGTTTATTTTCTAGTGTTCTACACTAAAGAAAACTATTCTAGAATTTATTCGTATCATATCTAAAATAATTCTTCAATACTTGGTTTTTTTTTTGATTTATTTAGTTGACAATTAGCACTTTTTTTTTGAGTTATTTCTCTTGAATTATATTTTGATTGATGATTTATAAGATAATTCGCTTAAAATCATAGAATATTTAACTATAATCGTTAGTTTCGGCAAACTTGAGAAAAAGATGGACACTCACACCCACCCAAAACATATTTTCTAGATACTACATTCAAGTATAAGTTGTTAAAGTATAGAAAAATTTCTAAGCAAAATATTTCATTTGGATTAATTTTATGTAATATAAACAATTGAAGAAAAATTTTTCAATAGAGATTATTAAAAAGATATATAATATTAAGAAAAAAAAAAATGAAATAGTTGATTTGTAAGTTTTAATATGATAATTCAACGAAATGACAGAAGAAGAAATATAAATAATGAAAATAAGACAATGAAAATTGTTGAAATAACAATAAAAATCAAATGTAAACGATATTCTTCCATAGTTCTATAGTATTTATCTATTAAGAATTGATTTTCTTTTCAAAATATTCGTTTCAATTAGATTAAATTTTGAAAAAAAACAAAAACATAAATTTAGTCGATTAATGAAATTTCTAACGAGTAATAATAAGCCATACAATATGGATCAAAACCAAAAATAATTAATAGTAAATTCATCAACACTTAAATCTTGTATTTATGATGGAATAAGAATAGAAAGAATAAGTAATATATAATACCAATTATGCTTTTACCGTTGTTATTAGCCTTTGTATATTAGGATATGTTATTCGATTAACTATATAAAGACAAAGTTATATCAAATAAAAATCTAAAGAATCACACTTTTTTTTTTTTTTTTGCTATCAACTTTTTGATGTCATCAATGTAAAGGAAGAAAAGAAAATGTTAACAAAAGAAAGAAACATAATATAGAAAAAAAAGATATAAATAAATTCTTTTAAATAGATTGTATGCAGAAAAAAATTATCTAATGTTTTCAGTCATATTGTTATTATTAAACTAACATGAACATATGCATTATTAATGAAGGAAATATAGCTGGTTTGAACAAATAAAAAAATAAAGAACTAATTAATTACGCAGTATTCTATATGCGTGACTATAACTGAAAGAATTCTATAGATTCACTTTTCATTAATATTTGTCTCTCAGTTTTTAAGCATCATTGAATTTTCTTTTGTGTAGATAGTACTAAGCAGGAAATTAGAGGAAGAAAAAAATATCGTATTGATGCTTCTCTATATAGCTATGTGATAACTATAACCGAGAATTTTTTTAAATATTGTATAATAACGGATGAATTTTATTTTTTGAAGTCTATTAAAACTGACAGAATTGAGTCGATTTCGATGAACTCTGACAATGTTGATGTATCTAAACCACCTGCGCTAGCTCAAATCGACTCAGTCATGAGATAAATTTTTATTATAGATGGCGCTAAAAACATTTTCTTTTTTATTACAGCAGTTTGCCGTCAAACTCAGGATAAGGAGTTGTTTATTTAATCGCTATATATGCAAAAAAAAGTGTGACATAAGTTTTAAAACGTATTTATTTCATAGAGATAATGACTGATCTATTTTGAAAAGTGGCATCTTAAGTGACTAAGAACTGCTTTTTTTAGTCACTAAATCCAGATGTATTATTCGAAAGGTTTCTATTTAATAAAAGATTATTCAATGTTATATTATGCATTCATATTGATCTTGATGGTTTCTTTTTTGTTGCATTCTTTCGATTATATACAGATCTTAATAACACAGGAAAATCTTAATTACTATTATGACCATGATTGTTGCTACCAGTGTTAGAATCAATATTTATTTCTTTCATAACTAAGTGAATCAGAATATGGAATTGAAAGTACAGCTGTTCAGTTTAATCAATTGTTGTTATAAAAGTTGGATACACATTTGTTACATTCTGATGGTCAGAACAAATTAAAAGAACGTTTCGATTTCGTAGATGAAGATCTTTGTTGATTCATGGCTTATACAGGAAGATGAAAATGAAAGCAAACTATGTACAATCTGTCATACCAGTTTTTTTCCTTGTATATGAGCTATTTTTGTTTATGTTAGGATTATTTTGTTACTAACAGTAATTTAATAATCGTATTTTCAAAAAACTAGTGAATTGATGTTTTTTTTCAGACATAATATTTATTTGATTCTAGAGTTTTTATTCATAATCATTAAGCTTTTCAATCTCGATATTCTCTTGCGTTCTGTACGTACATGAAGAATAATATCTATACCTGTCTCTTTCTTGCGTTCTGTCGTCACAATCAACTGTGTTTAAAATTTAGCATCATTATCCATAGTCATAAGGAATGATT